AGTCCAACTTACAGATGTATAGCAGTCTTTGAGTAACAGGAGTTAGGAACCACTGTTGTCATGTAGGGAGAAGAGAAGCAGGCCTGCCAGCAAAGCAGAATTCAGTCCCCTGACTTGGGTTCCCAGCCTGTTCTCTATTGCTCCTGGAAACAAATCTGAGTAAATGGGGCTGACCAATATTTGGTTTGTACTGATCACCACACCATGCACTCCAGAGAAGAGGAAAATATGTGTATCTTCCATAGTCTCCGACTCATCTCTCCCCACCCACCTTGGCTGTTCTTATCAAAAATTAGCACAAATACACCACCCACCAACCCAGAATCCAGTATTTCTCAGCAACAGGAGACTGGATGGGATAGATAAAAATAAAGTATTTGTACTTCCAAGGAACAGAGTAAAAGGAGAAAGAGACTTTTAAGTTGCCATTCTCTTAGATGGAGGATTAGAATCACATGAGGCAGAACCATTCAAGCCCTCACCTCTACAGCAGTTTTTCTCATCTTCCAGATGTCTTATCAAATTGGTTAAAGGACTCAGACCCGTTTTCTCCTTTGGTCTTCCTTCCATGCAGCATAGGTCATTTTCTGTGAGAGTACTGGTTTTCTTTACAATTACCATTTTAAGATATAGGCTCCAAAAACTGCCATTATTTTTTGTGAGAAATTACTCCCAAATACTTATGGGCATGGGGGGCGGGGAAATGCCATTTATATAATGTAATTTTCAACTTATGTTTGTAGTTTGTAATTTTTAGCTTAGGTGTATAGTTTGTAAGTTGTATTTCTTTGTATTTGTTATTAGTGGGAACTATGAACTTCTACAGTCTGTATAAAATCCAGAAAGCTGAGCATGGTACAATGCCCAAGAGACTCATGGAAAGGAACCAACCATCCACCAGTGAACTGGTTACCGGGACAACACCCCTTACCACTCCCCATGACTGACTGGATTTGCAGCCTCTATGAATGTACTCTCTCCGGGAGCCTCAACAACATCCCACATGAAATAACCTCCTCCTTAGAGGCTCTCCACGGCCAGTGCTTCCCAAAGCACTAGTTACATCCCATGTGAGCAGGCACAGTACTGGCTCCTGTGAATCTCAGCTTGCAACTTCAAGGCCAGGTGCAAAGATTAGCTTATGCCTGGAAAGCACGATAAATATTAGTTTGAAAGTGATACACGCATTGAAGTTGACATTTGCTCTGGAAGGGTTCGCTCGCAGCTCTGATGTTTCAGATAAACTTGTGAAAGCCTGAGTAGAGGCACACTTGCCAAGCAGGCCCAGCAGGTGCTCAGAAAAATCCTATTAAACACATGCAATATAATAAAAATGCTTGGTCTTTCTTATCACAAGAAATTTATTTTAGACTTGGAGAGGGGGTGGCAGGAGGGTGGCCTTTCATCCAACCTCTTAGTTATTTCAGATTCAAAGTTAGAATCAGGTGTAAGAATACAGGTTATTCTATGGAAGTGTGGGGAAATTGATATCCTTATCAATTACTAAGGATAAAGGAAGAAAAAAACAAGACCTCATAAATACTATGAAAATAACACCTGATAGGTGAGAAGAAACTTTAAACCTAAAATTATAAGTAGGTGTTTGAATTGCTAGCTCTTGAAGCAAGAAAACTCTAGGAAACGTGATCTATTAATAAATGCAGCCTAGCCCTGGCCAGTGTGGTTCAGATGGTTGAGCAGCATCCTGTACACCAAAAGGTCTCCAGTTTGATTCCTGGTCAGGGCACATGCCCAGATTGCAGGTTCGATCCCAGGTTGGTCGGGGCACATACAGTAGGCAACAGATAGATGTTTTTTCTCTCACATTGATGTTTCTGTCTCTCCCTCCCCACTACCTTCCTAAGGAAAAAAATAAAATCAATAAAAACATATTTTAGAATAATTAAGCACATCCTATTACCCAAAGCCTCCTGTTGCTTACTATATGTTACTCTTTGTATATTACGATAAATGAAGATGAAATTAATATCCGTATCAGTGGAACACAGAGTTGGTTTTCCTGCCATGACCAAGTCTGTTAACCTGTTGGTACACTCTCATTTCTTATGAGTGTTGACATAAATGTTTGACAATTGGGCAAATTTGGAAAGTTTTCTTCAGCCAAGTGGAACTAACCTATCTTCAATTCAACAGTGAAATTTGGGCCTCATCAGCACCACGTTTCCATTACCTAAAAACAGTGGCACACTTATGAAACTGCCATCGTTCCTTATCCTTCCCCATTCCTCCGGGAGAAGAAATGACTATTTCAAGCTAAGAATAAAATAACTAGCTGAGCACATCTAAAAACACCTGGACAACCATCACACCGGCAATCAGTTGCAGACCTCAGACTCCCATTTCCCAGACCACACCTCTTCAGGTATGCCTGTGGGAGCACAATATATTCTTACTACTACCTATTATTTTAAGTTTCCTTATCCACCCTCTGATCAGCTCTCGCTACAGTTACTATTCGTATAAGTACTAAAAGCTCTCAAAGTACTGTGCTAGATGCTTACATACATTATGTCAAATTCTCACAAGCAGTGATGGATACCTAAGTATCACAAGTATGCTACATTATCCGGAAAGACTGAACAGGGGAACACATCAAAAGTGGCCTGGCCAGGGCCACACAGCGAAGTGAGAGGCAGAGCTAGGACCAAACCCAGGTCTGCCTGGTTCTGAAGCCCATGCTCTTTCCACAAAACCACACAGAACTGCCGAAGAATCTTAGAATATGAGGTGTGGAAGGAGCCCTATGTAACAGCTGCCTCTCATTAAAAATCCACGACGTGCCATGTGCTCTCAATACCTTACCTCATCTTCTTAGCATAATCGAGCAGTGCTGGTTCAGGACAATGAAATAGGAACAAATATGAGACTTGTCCAAGGCTGTAGGTGGGTGAACACCTAATGTGAGATGTAAACTGGGGTATATTTAATTCCAAGTTGGGGTTCTTTTGACCAAGACCTCGAAAAAAAAAATCGCAGTGGCCCGTTAGGACTAACAATTCAACAGCATGCTATTTTTAGAGGAAACTGCAACGGACTGAGTACGGCCACAAGAAATTTACAGTGCCACTAAACTCACAGGATTTCAAAACTGGAAAAGATGAGAGAGCTTAGTGCAGTCCTCAAGCCCCATCATTTTGCAGATGGAAAAGCTGAAGATCAGAGAGATTGCAAATCATCCTTAAAAAAAGGATTGGAAGCAACAGGGAGAACACTGACAGAGCATTCCAGGTGAAGGGTATATACTGAAGAAAAAGAAAGCACAGAGGTCAAGTACGCCTAGTGTGTGCTTAAAGCAGAACAATAGATAACGCGTACGCTGTAAGAAAGAAAAAATAAAAAGGCATCTCCATTAAGTTGAATGCCCAAAGGAATTAGCTTCTTTTGAGTAAAAAAAAAAAAAAAGTTTAAAAATAAAAGGCTTTTTTAGTCAATCTTCCCATTTTGATCTAATGCCTATCCCTACTTAATTAACTTTATCTAATATTTGACATGAATCTCTGCTGTGGCCAAATTCTCTTTTAATTTTGTTTGTTGCCATAACCGTGTCTATACTAGAGTATGTGAACATGGATTTATACAATGTCTTCTCACCCAAAACTTACTTTGCTTTTCCTTGCTTTTATGTCTTTTCCACCCTTTGGTTTAGAACACTCAACGCCTAAAGGAAAGATTAAACAAATCTCTGCATAAAACTCAGAGTTTACAGTAATTGTTATTTTACTCCAAAGGGTACCAACCAAACCACAAAAGCTCAAAGAATGCAGCCTCCGACATCTTATTTTTAAAATGTGGTTATGCCATTAATTAATATGCTATAAAGAAATGCTGGTCACAGACCAAAGATTGAGTTCCACAGTCTGAGTTTCCGTAAAGAAGACTTTAATAAATTCTTCTCAAGGTAACAGTTTCAGAGTAAAAAGTTTTTAAACACTTTCAAGTACTCAATAAGTTTTATTTCCTCATAACAAACACTAAAAGTAATTAACACATATAGTTCACTTATGCTGGATGTGTAATAACACAGGAAGAAAAGTAAAAACTACTATAAAACTCTCTGACGTCAAAGTGCATCATTTACTAGAGTCAGGCAGACTTCCAAAAACGTGAGGCTCCAAGTTCAGGTGCAGGGGAGAAGTTAGTGCTGGGATACTGACACCCTGGAGAAAAAAATCAAGTTTTCAGCTTCTGTACCAAGCACATGGCTGCGGGAAACTGACATCTTCAATGTCTGGGAGGAAACTGACCGCGTTCCTCCCAGTGGTCTGACAAACTGCAATCCTATCCCAAGCCCTCTCAGGCTGGCAGGCACCGGTCCTCAACCAACTGGGTCTCGTCCAGAGAACTAAGGCGTGACAGGCCACAGAGGAGGTGCCCTGGAAAGACGAGCTGTCAAGTGAAATCGAAGGGAGAAGCCAGAAGTCACCGGAGGCCAAAAAAAAGTCTTTGATGGATGAATATGTGGGTGTGTACGTGTTGGGGAAATGGGTGGTCTGAGATAAAGAGTGCTAAACGAGAGAACAAATAACGGGTTCCTTAAAATGCCACTCCATCCCAAGAGAGGGAATGTGGGCAGTGCAAAAGCAAGGTATGGGGTCCTGAACGCAGGAGAAATAAGGCAAGCCTCATTGCACAGGTGGGTATAGTGAGGCGGGTTTCGAATTAAGTCCCGCAAGGAGTGAGCAATGCAGCCAACACTCTACTTACTGTAAGCCTCGGAGGATCTAAATCAACCTGGCTCTCCCCACCCACCCACCCACCCATCCAGCAAGTGCTCAGCACTGGGCACACAACCAGATCACAGCTCTGCATGAAGGTCCTAAGTCTTGTAACTTCCAGCTTCTTTGCAGAACTCAGCTTCGGATCGGACAACCCTGGGGGGCCAGGACGCGGGAAACTAGGCTGAGCGGGTCGCGCGGGAAGGTCGGAGGTGTGGGGTCCACGTCCCAGCACTGGCCCTCCGCCCGTCCACTGTCACTCACCCGAATGCCCTTCACCACGGTGATGTTCTCATTCTCGTCCGCCTCGAAGGTGACCCGGCGCGTGCTGGAGGCCCCGCCCATGGCGTCTCCGGTCCCTGCAGAGTCCCAGCGCGGACCCCCGAGCACTTGCGGCCCCACGCGCACACACGCGCGTGGACGTACCCGGGCGCTTGCCTTGCACGCCGGGAGCAAGGCCACGACCCCCAGGAGCAAGGAGAGGGCGCCGGTCCTCAGCTCCCGCCTTTTCCGGTCACGTTCCACAACAAGAAGCCTCTGGTTGGTGAGAGATACAAAAGGCCCGCCTCTACTCGGAAAGGACACCCAGATTGGTTGTTCCAGACCCGGATACTATGGCAACAGGTGGTGTTTGACAAGGTTTCCGGAGCCCCTGGGTACAGTGGGAATTGTAGTCTCCATTTGGCCCCAGGGGTTGCTGGGACAACTCGCCCTAATCTGGAGAGTGTGGCATTCTGGGAGTTGTGGTCCTCGCTGCCCCAAAGGCTTCTAAAGGGGCAACAACTTCCCTGGAAGTTCATTTTTCTTCTAGTAACTACCGTCAACATAAGAAACATCCAAACCTGGAGGAATTTTTATGACTTTATTTGAGCCAAACTGACGACAGTCGCTGGGAAGCAAAATCTCAACAGATTGAGGAAATGCACATGACATTTTTGCAGTTTATTTTATACATTATAATCAAAGAAGGAGGTGTAAGGAGGGTACATGAAATTCATTAGTGGCAGATTAGGGTGGTGGAAGAAAGCAAAGAGAGGAAATCTCTGGGTCTAGATAATGAGTCAGATGAAGAAATAAATACTTATTTTCATTAGTGCATACAGGATAGCTAACGCCATTTACAGCACATAGTGATGGTATCAGGGAGCAGGGTAACAATGAGGGGTTCTGTGATCTGCTCTGAAGGGAGATTGTGCCCTTAGAGGTCTGGAAAATAGGGGGATTACACTAACATCCCAAAGGTATGTTATCCTAGATGCAAAAAGACATTAGACAGGCTCGGTTAAGGTAAAGATTTACCTTTGTCAAGGGAGATACTGGCCTAGGACATGACTATTCATTGTAACTAGATTTTAGTCAAGAAAATTTACTTTCAGACCATCTTATGTGGTTATTTGAAGTCCTTGAGTTTGTGAAGTCCACCATGCAGGTCTCCCCTGAGCCATATCAGGTTTACTAAGTGGCCCACATTGCTATCTTCAGTACCTTTCAACATTAAAAAGCAGTCATCCACAACACAGCACAATCCTCTAATTCCAAAGATAACACAAAAAAAGCAGTAACATTTTCGATCTCCAATTATGCGCTGATTTATTACTCCTGAAGTCTGTAGGACAGAGACTGGTTTGGTTTTTTTTTCATCTCTGTATTCCTAATCAGTAGCAGGATGTTGGATTCATTATTGCACATCATCATTTGTTATTTTCAACATACACATATACAAATTGTATTATGCTCCTTTGAAGTTTTGAGACTACTTGCTACTTTGTATGAGTTCTCACTGTTGTACAATATGTTTTAACCTTTGTTCTACTCTACAGGGAAGTAAAAATCCCAGAAATGGTGTCTTTTGTTTCTTTTGGGACCTGCCTTCTACAAACAAAACCCTTTACACTTACTACCCCAATAGTACAGCACTTCTTGAAGGTTCTACATAAAACAGGTGCCCTGAAATTCTTACCAAAATAATAAATTACAAAGAAAAGAGTTCCTTAGGGAATACAGACACAAGGAACCAGTTATATATTTTAAATATATTTTCCTTATAATATTAAATGTGTTCATTCAACCAAATACATATTCATGAAGGCTAATCATGAATTATAGTATGATGCCTTCACTTTTTATGACACAGAAACATGTAAAGGGTCTTATCAAGTAATCTAAAAGTACTTTATAGATGCAATACAGTATTTTTAACTATAGTTATCTTGAAAGTCCTCAACACAAGACAAAAATTGAAGCTATGTATGGGGTCGGATGTTAGCTAGCTTTATTTTTGTGATCATTTCACAATATATACAAGTATGGATTCATGATGTTGTGTACTTGAAACTAATGTGTTATATGTCAATTATACATCAATTAAAAATAAAATAAATAAAAATACCTTAGGCCTTGGTATGGCTCAGTTGGGTGAGCATCTTTCTGTTCACTCACAGGTTGCCATTTGGAGTCCTGGTCAGGGCATATGTCTGATTTTCAGGCTTGATCCCCAGTTGGAATGCATGTAGGGATGGGGAGAGGGAAGCTGACTGATGTTCCTATTTCTCTCCACACCTCTCCCCTCCTCTCTCTCAAAAAAATCAATAAATACATATTTTTAAAAATTACTTTAGAATACATAATCTATTACAACCAACAACCAATAAAAACCCTTCTGAATTAAATATATATCTATATATATCTTCTTATAAAAAATGCCTAATATAACAATATTGTTTTATCAATTTCAAAATAAGGCATGCCTACAGCCCCTCCTAAAGAAAACATCTTGCAATACCCAGAACCTATACTCTCTCTGACCACAGTTTGTCAATGATTCTCTAATGCAAAGGCAGCATTTATTTCCAGAGCGCTATGAGCTAGAATGCAAATTTTGCCCAAACAAAAATAATAACAATAAAAACAAAAATAAGGTAACACTTGAGCCAATCTGAATTTCTAGGTATTTTTCCCTTTTCTTTAGCTCTACTTAAACTGGAAAATTCAGAACATACAAGAAAATAAGAAACAGAGAAGCTATTATACTGACTCGGAAACATAAGGTATTTTAGTAAACTAAAGATAGGTGAAAGCATAAATTATAAGAAGAATAAAAGACTTGCATTAGAAAATAAATATAGTAATATATCTATTTACAGATGATGTGTCATTAAAAAGAGAAAAATCCCAAGAAATCCACTAAAAAACTATTAAAACTAATGAAAACAAGTTCAGCAAGGTGCAGGATACAAGATCAACATACAAGAATCTATTGTAGTTCTATATACTAGAAATTAACATGCCAAAATTAAAATATAGAACTACAATAAATTCCTTTATGATAGCATAAAAGCAATTCAAATATCCATTAGCTGATGACTATATACACAAACTGTAGTATATCTAGATAATGGAACATTACTCAGCAATAAAAAAGAACAAAGAACTGACATATGCTAGAATATGGATGAGCCTCAAGGATATTGTGCAAAACAAAAAGAAGCCAGACACCAAAGTCCACAGATTACCTGATTTTATTTTAAAAAGATGTTCAGAATAGGCCAATCTATAGAAAATGAAAGTAGTTTATGCTTGCCAAGGGCAGGAAGAGGGTGAAATGAGGAGTTACTCTAGTTGGCACAAACTTTCTTTTTTTTTGGTTGGGGGATAAAAGAAAATGGTCTACAATTAGATTATGGTGATAATTGTATAACTATAAATATTGAACACCCATTGAATTGCACACTTAAAATGAATGAACTTTTTGACATGCAAATTACATATTAATAAAGCTGTTAAGGAATACATAGCTATCCAAACATGATAAAAATTAATTTATCATTTAATAAAGTCCAAAATAGGGTGCTTTTTTTTTTTTTTTGAGGAAAAGAAAATGTGAGAAGTATGAGGTGCTAAAATATAATCCAGTGGAAAAGAAGACTAGAATAAAACAGACATTCATGAATTAGCATAGTCCTACAAGTCAAGGAGCACTGGAGTGAAGACCCACAGCTCCAGAAGCTTCCGGAATTGCCTAGAACTGAGAAAGGCCTTCCAACTGTACTTTTCATGATGGCCAGTTCTATCGAGGCACCTCGTCTTCCTGAGGTTCAGCTGTTCCCTGTTTCCTAGGTTCAGGTGAATCTAGGAATCTTCCTAATCACATAAGGCCTACCCAAATGTCTACACTGTAGACTCTACACAGGCATCTTCAAACTACGGCCCACGGGCCACATGCGGCCCGCAGAGGAGTCTGATCCGGCCCGCCAGGTTTTTTGGGCAGTGAGCGCAGCCGAGGTGTTACAGTAGGAATTAGTAGTTCATATAGTCCAGCCCTCCAGCTCTCTGAGGGACCGTGATCTGGCCCCCACTTTAAAAAGTTTGAGGACGCCTGCACAGCAATGATACAGCATATTTTCTTCAGTCTCCAAACACTCTAAGTAAAAAAAATGAATATCAGCAGTTTACTTTGACGCAGAGCAGAGAACTGAGCAGTAATTTGATTCTTCACAAATCTTAGTTTGGCCATTGAGCAATATGACCTTCACACTCCTTCACCCTGAGTAATTTCATGCTTTACCACCATGTTAGCCATTGGAATTAACAGTACAAACAAATAAACAAATGTTTTTGCTGTTAAAATGCCAATCATCTCAAATTTCCCCATCCCTGAAAGAAATCCACCTAGATTTCTAAATCACTCTAACAAGCAATTCCAGAAGTCTCAAGGTAGAAAGAAGATTTTCGCTACATACTCTAGTTTTTCAATCCCAACTGTTTATTATTATTTTTATTATTATTATTATTGATGAGAGAGAGTGATAAATGTTTGTTGTTTCACCTATTTATGCATCCATTGGTTGATTCTTATATGTGCCCTGACCAGGGATTGAACCTGCAATCTTGGTGTATCAGGACGATGCTCAGTCTAGCCAACTGAGCTACCTGGCCAGGGCCTCAATGCCAACTTTAAACAAAAGTTTGTTTTGCAAAACTTTTGCAAAACCCTAATGAGCCCTCCTCTACCCTTTTCTGCACATATCACCTGACTGTTCCTGATATACCAGCTGGAAGTGTAGAAAAAGGTGTGTGAGAGGGAGGAGTGACAACAGCAAGAACATGACCTGCATGAGGAGGAACCAGGGAGGAGAGCGCTGGGTCTGGTCCCCAGTTAGAAGAGCTAATCCATGTGTTGCTTACCCTCACCCCAGCTCTTTTCAGCAGTGTTTAAACTGCACAGTGGAACACTCTGACCTGAGCTGAAATAGAATATAGATATAATGATCAAGCTACATGAGCTAAAAATTGGAGCACATGCTCTGACTATTACTTATGTGCTTATAGAGACAATTGCATCAGTCCTTGAAATCAGGATCATCCTAGAAAATCTAGGACATATAGTTGCCATAGTTATAGCAAACCAATTAAAATCACTGGCAAGTGCTCCTTATGTAGTGCACACAGTCAATATAAAGACTTTCTACAAATATGGACTAAGACATTGGACAAGCTGCAACAGGACAACAGCAGTAGAGCTTTCCCACCA